TCTAGCTCAGACTGAACTGCAGCGTTTTGACTGTCCAGAGAAAGGTTTCTGTTCTTATAGACTCACAATGGTTTAATTATACTTTAAATATTTTCCTGTCATCATTCTTCAGTATCTAAGTATCAAATATAGCCATGTTGGGATTATAGTACATCAGAATATTTTATTGTAAAAACTTGACTTGCCGACTTGGGTTTCATTTAAATTGTTAACTGACTTGAGTTTATGACAGAATTTCCAAAATGGTTCAAAACACACTCTGCTATTTTGGACTACTTACTTATGTGATCTCACATTCTCAGTATTGATTACTATAAATCAAAATGCTGATCAACTATGGAAAACAGTGAAGATGGTTTATGTTCTTTAGTACTGAATATTCAGCTAAGACTTAACTTTTTGTACAAAATAAACTAGTGCTGGGCATGGTGGTACACTCCTTTAACCTGAGCACTTGAGAGGTAGAGGCAGGCAGATCTTTATGAGTTTGGGGCTGACCTGTCTATATAATGAGTTCCAGACCAGGCATGGCTACATAGCGAGACTCTGTCTCTAGACAAATAAATAAATAGTAAACAAACAAGCTCCTTTCTCACTAGTATGCAAATAAATCGTAAAAACATGTATACTGAAGGATTACCTTAGAATATATTTCTTTATGTTTTATTATCAGTAAATGTTTGGTATGTATATACCTGAAGCAGCGTTTCTCGGGTGATATAATGGAAATGTTTAAGCAGCTCTCCTGCCAGGTGGAAGTTCAGTAAGAGCATGGCAGTCACCACACTGCTGTCTCTTAAAGAGAACTTGGGGAGGGAGAAAGGCTGCCTTTCAGAGGGAAGTAGGGGGTGTAGGGTGTAGGCCCAGGCTGCTCCTTGCTGTAACATACAGAGGTTTGTTTTTAATGTACATTTAAACCTCACTAAGTCATGGCCATCTTGTTTATCTTCCAGCATCTGCCCTGTTTATATGCTCACTCAGGGAGAAGGAAGGTTTCCAAACTGGTATAACCACATGCTCACAGGTCCCATTGTTTAGGACAATCAGCTTTGAGATACTTACAAAGTATCTTATTAAAAAAAAAACAAACACTTCAGTGTAGACAGACATACCAGCCCTTAGGTAGGCTTTCGTAGGCTTTTTACAGATAATCCTACTTCCAAATTCTGAATTACAAGACAACAAAACAACAGTAACATCAACAAGGCTACCCCCGACCATGAAACCTGTAACTCCAATTTGTAGGTTCTAGCTCAGCGGCATTCCCCTCTCTTCCTTTTAAAGGCTCTCACTATGTGGCCCTGGCTAATCTGGAACTTACTATCTAGCCCAACTCAGCATTGAATTCATAGCAATCCTCCTGCGTTAACCTCCTGAGCACTGGAATTACAGGCATGCACCTCTACTTCTCAGTGCACGTTAACAGCTATGGCAGAGCCTGCATTTGGCGCTGGTCTGTCTGCAATGTGCTACCTGTGAGGAGTAGCAGAGCTAAGGTGGGCTGCTGGCCCTCACAGGCAGGGGCTGACTGGTGGTGCTCAGACACCATAAAAACAATGGATTCAGAAAGCCAGAAAACCTCTTGAACAACAACAACAACAACAACAAAAGAAAAACAGCAATTTTTAAAAATGCTCTAGCTCACGTGTTTTTCACATTTGTAAGAAGCCTTTATCTAACTGAATACATCAGCAATATGCCAGACATGTCATCCAGGCAGGGTGGGGGCGTAGACAGAATTTACCCTATTTTTAAAAGATCTCTAGGGAAGATAATGTCCTCGAAACTCGTGTTAAAGTGTAATTATCTTCATTATTATGAATTTTTTATGTTCAACTTAATTTTTTAACCTTTTAATTCTTTAAGGCCATTTCTTCCCTTTTCGGTCTCTGAAAATATTGTGTGTATACACAGACATTTCTAAATATGCATGACAAGCTGTCTTGCCTTCTCTTCCTGCTTATGTCTCTAGGTAAAACAGCCCTACTTCCTCTTGTGCCAAACTTCACATGTAACAAAAAACAGACTCTACTGTCAGCCAGAGTTACAAGGTGTAGTGACCAGTGACATAAGACCCTGACATCAGGCCATGAAATCCTGCCTTGAGATCACAGCCAAGAAGATGAAGGAAGCCAAGGGCCCTGCCTGTGGCAAGCTTCGGTCCATCTTCCAATCCCACGGGAACAGCAGGATTTCTCCAAGATGCTTCTCCTCACTCACTTTTTACAGCCTTCTTCGACACCCGTACTCTCCCACACCGCGCCCCCCAACATAAAGAGAATAACTCGGGGATACAGGCAAAGCTGTTATCCATATCAGGTCATATTCCCATCCAGCTCTTCTATGAAACGTTTTCCAGCTTGGTCCAAATCCTCTTTTCAAGGGTTACCATATCTCATCAAAACTGACCCTTAAACTTACATACCTCTTCAGGAATTCCCAATCAAAACGAGACACCCTGAGGACCCATGGCCAGAGGGGCCCAGTGATCACTGCGGGCAGTGTGGGAAACTGGTAAGCTTCTATGGTTGATAGCTGGCAGGTCTTTCTCCTCAGCTTCAAGAAGTCACTGCCCAGCCATCAGAATACACTAAGTGACACCCCGGATACCAGGCCTTGGGTGGTTGGTACAAGCAGTTTTTCTCAGAGCCCCACACATCCAAAGCATTATGAAAGCTACTCCCTAAGCTATGTAAACCCTATAGGGATGGGGAGAGACAGCCAGCAAGGACTGAGACAACATCACAAAACAAAAGGTTAGAGGGAAGCTTTCCTTAGCTATTAGCAAAAACCCCAAGGTGGGAAGTAACAGCACCGGTTCAGAGCCAGGCACACCATCTCCTGTAATTACCTTCCGACTTAGGACTAGGAGTAGATGCAGGAAACTGGTATGTAGGAGTGTAAGGGTTGTCCTCTGCAGCAGAGAAAAGCAGTGGGTGTGAAGCCGTCCACCAAGAAGTGGAGAAACGATTAACCCCCGGCTGATGCTCCCCAATGGTTATCTATTTTAGTGTTATTAAAGCACACAGGCATCACACTTAGATTAATGAATTAGAAAGGACTTAGTTATTTTAATACAGCACACCATGCAAATGAGCGAAATAAAATGCTCATGGGCTGAAATGACTATTAAGAACAAAATGTAAAAGCCGAATTGTACACCTATCATGGGACTCTAAGAACTAATTTCAAGCTATGGCAACAGATGCACTGTCTAAACTTATGGTACCTTCAGAATTTTGCAGGATTTCAGGAAGTTCAGGGAATTTGTACGTAGGGAAATAAGGGTTTTCTTCAGGAGTGTCTAGGCAGTGGGAGCAGGTTTGAGAGAGAGAGAGAACAGAGGAAGATACAAATGGAGAGAGTGAGCAAGTAGGAATCCACACACAATTTTTACTCCTTGAATTGTGGGACATAATAAGTTTCACTAATGATATGAAATTTAAAATCCAGTCTTTTTGCCTGAATTAAGACACCTCAAAAAGAATTATTTAGAAACTGGCTTCAATGGACAAGAAGCACTTAACACAAAGTTTCAAATTTCACATTTCTTTTAGGTTAGAGATATGAAATATGATAGTGAAAACACTACCCTAAAGTGGTTTTTCCCCCAAATCAAAGGCCGTTTTGTACATATTAGAATCAAGGCAAACAAGTGAGTCTTGAGCCTTTCGGGTGCCTCTGCCTCCACTAGGGCAGGGAGGTTTGCTCGGAATCTGTAATTGCTGGGTTAATAACTCGAGCACAAGAAGACCATAGGTGTCTTGGAGCAGGATCACACGTTCTGTGCATATGCATGCATTCATCCCTGCATTTAGCTTTCCAAACCCAGGTCTGAAGGTGGGAGAGTCACAGACAACTGGAAGAAAAGGGCAGTGACTACCATGGAGACCCAGTCTTAAGCACCACCATGATGGAGCTTATCCACTTGACTCAGAGAAGATAAACACTCAATATTTAGAAATAGTGTGGACCATTCTGAACCCAGCAGAAGCTAACTAACAGTGATGTTTAGCATATACAGCTAGGCAACGAGATTGGACATTTGTGACTTAGATAGGAACACTGACCAGAAGACTATTTCTTTGGTGCATTTCATAGCAGGCAGCCAGACTGGATTTGGGCACAAAGAAAGACAGGATGCCCTGCTCCCAGGAAGAGTGGCTCCCTTCCCACAGTGCAGTGACATCCCTGCCTGTCAGTTGACTGGCAGCATAGGCAGCAATGGGAGCTGAGCTAGTAGGGTTGTGAACTGCCAAAGCACTAGCCTGGGGTTCTGCCATCATGCTGGGCCTCTTGATCTGTAAGCACCTCTTTCAAATTGCGCAGCTCTAGTGTGTCAGCTCACGACTGATTCTCTACCTGCCAAGCTCTCGTTCCCAGTTGGGAAAGCTGACTTCACACACTAGCATAGCCTCAGAGATGCATAACACATCGCACTTCACAGGGCCAACTGCATGCCCAATAATGTCCACAACATCCTTCAGAGGACTGGAAACAGGACAGACACAGAAAGATACAAGATCCACCTAAGAGTACACAAGTGCCCGGAGGCTGGCTCTCGGGAAGAACAGTTTTCTTAACTCCCAATGCAGGGCTTTGCTCAACTTGATTTTCTCACAAAGCAATCATGGGCTGACACAAGGTATACCTAAAGCTGGAAGCAGGTGGGAGATGGAACTGTCTGCCCCCACCCCCACCCCGGGCAGATAGGCATGGGAGCATGGGTGGGGTGCTAGGCTCAGCCTCCTGCACTATACAACAGCTGGGAGGGAGGTCTTGCAAGCTGACCTCAAGTTCCAAAGCTGAGGCAGGCACAGGTACAAACCTCCCACTTGTGCTCTGAGGGCACACAGCTACAATCAGGCAGGCCAGTCCCTAGTGTAATCCAACAACAGGAGCCCATCTCCCGGAGTCAAAGTGAACTGAGAACAGGCCCACAACCAACAGTCAATAAATCCCCACAGCATCACACAGCTTCTACAAATGAAAATTGGTACCTCTGTTCAGCTTGTGGATCTGTTTAAACATGGTTTTGTACCAGTCTTTCGATCTCTCGGTATTCTGGAGAAAAACATAAGCAAAGGATAAAAACAATGCGAAACTGAGCACACTTTAGAAGACCTATGATCACAAAATCAAAATCAAACAGGGAGGTACTAGAATAGATCCTTGCACACGATAGGCAAATGCTCTTCTGTACACATCCCTGGCTAGATTATTAAGAACTTTTTTTTAAAGGCAAAACTTTTGAGAAAGCTGAGTCATAGTAAGAGATTCAGATGTGATTTTGAAAACTGAGATTTGGCCTAAGGATATTAACAGACAAAGACAGATCTGAAATATGCCCATGCTTTCTTTCCTATGTTTAATTTATGTATATGGATGCTTTGCCTGCATTAATTTATGTGCACCATGTGTACACAGTGTCAGGGGAGGCCAGCAGAGGGCATCAGAACCAGCTATGTGTGTGCTGAGTCTTCTGTAAGAGCAGAAAGTGCTCCTAACCACTGAACTATCTCCCTAGCCCTGTGCCCAATCTTTCTTAAAATTTCATTTTTAGAGATAATCTCTCTCCACACACAGGCTTCAAGAAACTGATGTTAAGCCCTCCCAGAATCCGAAGGCAGTAAGTCATTGCTTACCACAGTCTTATCTCTTCCCCTTCTGGATTACTCTGTATAAATGTAAATAAGTCACCTTGCACAAAGCCATATTTAGAACACATAGATTAAAATGGAACTCAAATGACACCCAATCCCAGGGCTTTCACGATCACCTGGAGCTAGGCCTCTTTTCAAAGATGAAAAGTAAAATAAGGTGGCTAGATAGGACAGTATCACTCCCATTTTACAGATGAGGGGATTAAACAGAAGGTGTCCAAGTGCACTGTCCAAGGTAGAGAGGTGTTAAAAAGTAGAAGGGCCAACTAATGCAATAGCTGTACATACTCTGCTACCCATACGTTGTGAGCTTTTGGGAGAGTGATGTCATCCTGCATTCAATGCCTTTCTGATGCTGTTTGGATGTGTGTCCTCTGTAGTTAATGGCTTGTCGCCCAGGGTGACAGCACTGGGAGGTACTGAGGTATTAGGAGGTACGGCCTAATGAGAGGTCCTCAGAATACTGAGGATGACTTCTCCTCAAGGCTTTGGGATGCCAGCCAGCCCTTCTCTCTGCTCCCCAACACACAGTATGTGCACTGGCTTTGATGTACAATCTTGCCATGTGTGCTATCTTTGCCAGAGGTCCCTGCAGAGCAGGTGGCTCAGTTTTGGACTCAGACCTCTACAACCATGAGCCTCTCCTTACTCCAGAAGCAGCCTGTACTGAGTATTCATAACAGCGCAGCTAGGCTGACAGTGGCAGCAATCTATGAGAATGATAACTGCTCCCACCGCTCAACGTAAGATAAAGTCCAACACAAGTAGCTGCAATCACTATTGGTAACAGTTCTTTTTTTCTCCGTTATTACATATGACCAACGTAGAGTTCTTCAAAGGCTTAGACTATTGCTGTTTCTATCTACCCTCTGAAAGAGTAAAAAAAAAAAAAGAGCCCCATTTTCCAAATGAAAATCAAAGACACATACTGCAGCCAGTGGCCTGGTGGACACATAAAGAGGAGTAGGATTACCCTGAATTGAGCCACAAGGGGCAGGCTTCCCTGAGCTCCTTGGGGCCTTCAGGAGCATCGGCATACCTGGCCTCAGGAAGAGGCCTGGTGGTCCTGAAGGCTTTGAAGGGAGGGCCTCCTTTGCCTGCTTGCCTTGTCCTGTTCACCTTGCTTGATGGGGCAACTCTCATCCAAGGATCTTCCTCCTGAACCCAGGTACACGGCCTCACTTTGCCAGGGATGCCCCTATCTCTGGAGCAAGAATTGCTAATGGGGTTCCACAGCAATGACGTCCTTGCCCGATTGCTCTGCTGCAGAAAAGTTCTTCAACTTTGCTCTGCCCAGGTGTTCCTTTTCTTTTGAGACATATTATCCTACACCTACACTTTGGAGAAGTCTGGATATGCTCAATGGGGTGTGGTTTGTGCTGGTGTCAAAAAGCCCCCCCCCCCCCCCCCTCTGTGAAACTTTGAGTCCACAGACTCAAGGCCACACTCTTGCTAGCACTTGTTCAAGCTGAAGTCCAAGAGGACCGGAAGGTCCACTTTCGTACCCGGAGTGGGATGCCCACTTCATCCATGGACACATTGCTTAGGTCCTGTGCACTCTTCACCACCCTCCTGCTGTCATCCTTTGCTCTCCTTTCAGCAGTCCTGCTGGGCGAGGTGAGTTCTGCCGGGGTTGGCACTGAGTCCTGTTCACCCACTCTCCTCTCTGAGGCAGGATCTGGAAATGAAAAGTAATCACGAGCTTAAACGCCAAAGCAAAAAACTCTCCCACAATCCAGCTAGGGGAAAGGGGTGTTTGCTAACTTCTAATTGGAACTAGTGCCACATAGGCCAGGGGTCAGTGAAGTCCAGCTGACTGCCAGCCACCTGCTTTTATAAGTAAAATTTGACTGGAACATAGCCATGATGGTTTGTCCACACATTATTTAGGAATGCTTTTGCGTTACCATGGCTGAGCTGAGTAAGCTGTGACCACATGGCCTGCAGAGCATCAAATACGTGTTATCTGGCTCTTTAGAGAGGCCTGCAGAGGTATGGAATGGTTCTGAAGCTATCTGGGAAGGTAAGGGAGCAGAGAAGGCCTTAAGGAAATGGTAAAACATTACTGGAAAGTTAACTTTTTTGTCTTGGGAGGCACTTAACTCTCCTCACATAACTTTCCCATGCCTTAGTTTTCTCATTAAAAAAATATGGGAATGACACTTCCATTGGCAAGCTCACAAAGATGCTGTAAGTCAAAGTGCTCAGAAAGCTAGACATTGCTGGGTGTTCATTACAGTTTATTTAACCTAGTTCATGACTGGCACTTACAGAGAGCCAACACGAACACCAGGTGTGGTCTACAGATTACATGGTCACTAGTGACTGTCTGTTTTTCAAAGCTAGACCATTCAGTTACTGAAGAGGTGTTCCCTAAGCATCTGCCAGGTGCTATGCATAGTATTCTGCATATAGACATGAAGGTGAACCTCTCAAATTCTTAGTCTTCAGGGGGCTTATACTCTAGTGGGCCAGCAATAAAAATGCAGAGTAGTGAGGGCAGACAGAGGAGTCAGCACCCAGCTTAGCTGCAGAATTTAGTTTCAGAGCCAACTTGTCTAAGAGAAGCCAACCAGATGAAAAGAGAGTGGAGGATGTTCCTGGCAGAAGGACCAGCATCATCAACTGTGTGCCTCCTTGAACTACTCTGGCTCAATTAGGTGCCTGGCATTGCACTAAACTCTTCAATAAGACAAGAAGACCCTATGGGGTTTTTGTTGTTGTTGTTTTTGTTTGTTTGTTTGTTTGTTTGTTTTGAAAGACCTTAGAGGCATCCACGAGATGCTGCAAGACCCAGCTGATATGCCTTGAAGGATGGAGTTTTACAGCCACCAGCACAAGAGTAATGACAGATGTCTATGGTAGAAGGAAGTGAGAGCAGAGCCAAAGGCTGAAATCACACACTGAAAAATACCAAAGAAACGGGTAGAGAAGCAGAGAATCCCCAAGCCTCCGAGGGAGTCATCTGAGCAACAGGAAAGGGCCAAAAACACTGAGAGAGCAATTTCAGGAGGGCAACACCAGCAGGTATCAGACTGTAGCGAAAGGGATCATATGTGTGACAAAGAAGTAGGGTGAACGCAACACAGAGGAAGGAATGTGTCAGATGGTAAAAGATGGACAGCAAAAGGGCGTAAGCCAAGCGAGTCCGAAGTCTTATCAGTGAAGAATAAGGCATGTCTTTCTCTCAACCCTCCATTAATTAGTAAGCGCTCTCTGATTGAACGGAAGTGCAAGGTGCTGGCAGGGGAATGAACGTCCTCTGGCAGGAAGGTGGGATTTGGGATTCCATGCAAAGCTGTGACAAAGTCAGAGGTGTCCATGTATGCAGAAGTAGCTGAGGGGTTGGGAACAGTGAAGTGTGCATGCTGAGGTTTGTAACTTCAGTCTACCCAACAGAGTCACTCTCCTCTGACTTCAGACATGCTCCTTAAAGCCTTGCTCCATCTATGAGTGCAGAATGATTTCTAAATATCTTTGTCAACATGATCCCCATATCATCACCACAAACCTCCAAGATGCCAGACTGTCTCCCTAGGATTTCTGGAATTTCTCAGGAAATTCCAACACAAGGCCAAAGTTCCATCAGAAAATGCAGAATGCAAGAGGATTCTGGGTTACCAGTCCACCCTTGACTTGATCTCTGAACATTCTCCTCCCACCTGGAAAGGCCTTCCTCAAGTGAAATAAAAAAGGGGCCAGTGAGCTGATTCCAAACTCCACCTTGCTTGGTATGCAGACACTATGAGATGATGGCCACAGACACTTGGCCAAGGTTTTTTGGCCAAGTAAATCTTTAAAAAAAAAAAAAAAAATGATTAGGGCAAGTGATTCTAACCACTGCAACACTGAGACCATGGATTTTTCCAGTTACTTTGGTCGATAAAATTAGCGTTGCCCACCCCCCCTTTTTGTTTAAACTTTAGAAGCTTAAGATCATGGGATTCTAGTACATGGAGGGCTCAGGCCCCAAAAGAAAAATGTTACTTGATATAGTAAACCCCTTAAGTGACACTCTTCCACATCAGTCAGAGCAACCCTCTGAATTCACAGCCTGCCTTCTGATGCTTTACATCATATTCTGTCTGCTTCTTTCTGGTTTTACAGTGTGCTTCAGAAGGTCTTGACTTGGGGAATGGAGAGATGGCTCAGTGGTTAAGAGCCCATTCTGGTCTTGCAGGGACCAGGTTTTTTTTTTTTTTTAATACCCACATGGTAACTCACAATCATCTTTAACTTCAGTTCCAAGAGATTTATTGCCCTCTTTTAGACTCCATGGACCCTAGGCACACACACGGTACTCGGACATTCACACAAGCAAACTCTTATACACATAAAAAAATAAATCATTTTTTAAAGTTTTGATCAGTAAATGGATGATGATGACAACCTCAAACGGCCTCTCTCAGGAGGAAGTGGGACAGATGATCTGTGTCTCCAAAGTTGTCCAGAGCAATTCTTCTAATTCTCTGGGGAAGGGCAGGGCCCTCCTTACCCCCCGGTCAGTCCTGAAGTCTTTAATCAAGGGGACCACAAACCACACAAGGCCAAACAGCACGAAGCTCCATCCCCTGATAACTCTCCACATGGCTCCTCTTGACCGTCAAGTTGACTGGAGTAACAGATACCTAGGATATTAGTAAAGCACATCTCTGGATATGCCAGTGAAGGCATTTTCAAAGATGACTCTGCCCCATCAATGGTTTAATCCATCCATGAATTCAAGATTGGGAGGTTGTGAAGCTGAAGCCCGGGGTTGAGGAAAACACATCACTGGGACCATCATCTTGTCCTGGCCCCTTCCTGTTGCTGCTTCTCTCTGCTTCCTAGTCACCGGGGTGTGAACAGAGCCACCAGGCCCTCCCTTCCATGACCAACTGAATCCCCTAAAACCACAAGCAACCAACTTTCCTTCCTTAAACTATTCTACCAGGTACTGGTAATCGCAATGAAAAGCCCAATACTCTCTCATTGAGTGCTGAGCTCCAAAGACATTCACTAAAACTGTGCTGAAGGGAAGGAGGCTGGCAGTCCTTAGTCTCAGATGTAAGGGTGTGGGGTAGACACTCATGTGTTCTAGAGAATTCTCTAGAGGCTAGAGAATGCCACTCTCGGAAGCTCCTGGAGACTAGTGGAGATCAAAGGCATTGTGTGCTAAGCCTGCCTGCATAGAGTTGAAACCTGCCCATGAACCTGCCCTTTCTAGTGTGGACAGCATCCTTCTCATTGCAGCCATACACATCAGCACCTTCAGCAGAACCAAGAATTAGCACACTTCCCAGAGAAGTGAAGTCACTTACCTAGGGACAAACAGTTGTATGAGGGGGGAAAAAAGCAAGCAAACAAAAAATCTCTGGGTCTCCCAACATGTAGCTAGATGCTTTTTCCATCAATTTTGACAATCCTTTCAAGCTACCAAAGGCAGAAGAAGATGCCTCCCTCTCCCCCGCCCACTTCCGTGTGTGTGTGTGTGTGTGTGTGTGTGTGTGTGTGTTCCACCCACGGACACCTGGGCTGGTCAGGGGAATGAAGTGCATTGAACCTGGTGGTTCAAGAAGGGCTGTGAAGGGCACCTTGAGATTAACCGCAGCCTGTTCTGGTCCTGTAGCCAAGTCCTGATAAAGTTGAGAGGGTGTGAGAACCTCATGTCCTCCCCACTCAGGCTCTGCCCAAATCACAAGAGCAGTGGTATGCTAAAGTCATGAAGAAACCACATAGCAGCTGCTCAAAAACTGGTGGCTTCGGTTACTCACTGGATCAGAGGTTCTTAACGCTAGAGCTCATGAGCCTTTGCTCCATGTGCCCTGTGTACACATTGGCTTTGTCTGAAGAGTGAACCAACTGCCTTCATTAGCTCCTCCCAAGGAGCCCAAGACCAAACAGTAGTAAGCCATCATACCACGCCATCAGCCGCTGACGGGCAGCACAGCTCCCTTCTGCAGCCCCAGAGACTGACTCTGCACCAAGCACAAGAATAGAACCGGTAACAGACCAGAGTCAATACAAGCACCCGCAGACAATAGTGCTTCATATCTACTAAGCTCTTAGCACAAAGCTTAGGGCATAGACGCCCTTTAGCAGAATGTCCCAGGAGTTTCACATCAGTCTTGGAGACACAGCTACTTTCTTCTTTCACACAAGAGAACTGGAGTATGAAAACCAGGGTTGGAAGCAGCAGGGAATGATTGAACACCTCCATCCCTGGGTTTCTCCAGGATCTCAAACCTCCCTAGACCAGCAATATCTCATCCTGCATACCCTCTCAGGAGTGAGCCCTGACTACTGACTATATTTGTGGTCACTCCACCATCAGGGAGCTTGATGATTACTCTCAGGGTGTGGTCATCAAGGAAGAAAGCATCAGCTGCTTGGGATCCAAACCGCCATCCTTGTTCATTAAATCGGACCCTCTTGAAGTGAGTCTCAACAAGCTTTCCAGGAGATACTGATGCCAGCTTGAGTTCAAGTGGCAGCATCAAGCACTGTGTGGGTCTGGAGGGTACCTATTTAGACCCGTCACTCAGGGTCATCCATCTACTGGCAGTCTGTTCTTTGGTTTGTTTTTTGTTTTTTGGGTTTTTTTTTTTTTTCATCCAAAAGGGAAGAATTTCCCACATATTCCAACCCTTGATTCATTTAATCAGAGAGAGACAGAGCAACAGAATGCTCTTTGGTCTGTGCACAGTCAGGTCTGGCTACCTGGGTATACATTACAGTTCCACAAGGCATGCTTACTACTCTGGTTCGTGAGTCTGTCTGCTCCAGGGTATAGAAACTATTCCTTTGATGTGGAGTATCCCTCTGTATGCTGTGAATGTGCTGCTTTTATTGGTTGATGAATAAAGCTGATTTGTCCAAATGGCCAGGCAGAATAGAGCCAGGAGGGAAACTCAAAGATAGGGAGAGAAAGAAGGCAAAGTAGGGGAGATGCCAAGTAGCCATGTAGCTGCTGGAGAAGCAAGATGTGTGGTAACAAGCCATGAGCCTCATGGTAAAATATAAACTAAGAGAAATGAGTTCACTTAACTGTGAGAGCTAATCAGTAATACGCCTGAACCACTGGCCAGACAATTATAATTACTAATAATCCTCTGACTGTGTATTTGGGAACTGGTGGGTGGGAGACAAACCTCCATTTACAGTTCTGGTTTGCATTATCCCTGAGATTCATCAATCAACACACAGAGACATTCAGAAGACTGTGCCGATTGGACGCCAGTTTGAACAGGATCTGAAATTAGCAGGCAAATAAACAGATAGCTCACCTACCTGAAAGACTACTGAGTCGTTTTTGCTGTTCTGTGATGAGAGAAAAGAACACAATGTAAGTGATATTTATACAGCACCTGGCAAGACAGAGTAGTCCCAGCATAACTAATGAGGACACCATACTCCGGTCCTTCCTGTTTTCTGGGCTTGGATGTCAAAATGCACAGCCCAGCTGAGGCAGTGGTCATGATGTAGCTCTTATTATCCCAAAAATAGAAGCAAGAGGTCCCCAAGCTCCCCAACCTGTAGATCTGCACCAGGACTTGGGCCCACCGAAATGTTCTAGTAGTTTCCCTCTTGTCTCAAGCTGACTCATCACTCATGACCCTTCTAACCCCTCTCGGTTCACACAGACCTCATAACATCCCAGACTCTGTAACTTTTGGGAGATACATAAAGAATCAGACTTGACAACTGCCATTTCCTAGCTTGCCAAATGACAATCCTGTTGTAAGAGCATTTTCATCTAGCACTTGAAATCTTAGCAACAGCTTTGGCTGTTAGGTACAGCTATTTTCCTCAATGAACATCCTTACACTAGAGCTTAGTCAATGAACATCTGCCCACTCCAGGGAAATAAAGAAATTCTAAAAATTATCAGCATTAGCTAAGGGATAAGGGGCTTAGGTTACTCAAAATACCAAAAACCATCTGGTTCTAGAACCAAAATCTCCAGCTTATAGTCTCCAGCTCTTTCCAACCCTGGTGACCTAGTCCCCACTGTCCTTAATGCGGTTGCTCACCCTCCTAGGTAATCATGTGGAGGAGGGTCCTGGGTCTTGTTGGCAGCATCCTGTGCACACTCACTATTCGATAAGCACAAAAGTAACCTTTACCTTCCACAGCTGCCAAATATCAAGTAGAGAGATTAAAAATAGACCATGCTGGCCCATGCGTGCTGTCACCATCACCCATGGCCACATTCCTATCCTGATGCTAGCATCAGTGTGGGGGAGAAGTAAACAGCAGTGTGGGAGCTCCAGGCCAGAGGACTGGCAGCTGTCCATCAAAGCTTTATGCATGGGACGAGCACCACCTGCACCAGACGCTGAGTGGAGTTCCAAGCTGGGCTAGGCAGAAAACAATGACCAATTGAGTAACCACTTGGCCTCAGTTTCCTCATCTGTGATGATACAGTGCTAGGGCATCTACAGGGATTTATGGCTGCCACATTCTGTTCTGCAAGGTGCAGCAGGGTCCTCTTCTTCTAGCAATGAAGCAATTGCGAAAGCCCTGTTGCTCCTACTTCGAAGGTGTGCAATGGCTGTTCTTTCACAGGACATCACACAGACAGTGGCACCTGTTTTTCAGTCATCAGTCCAGAGTGATCCTTGAACCGTTCCTGCCACAGACCTGTCTGGGAACTGTGAAGGTCTTGCTTCCCAAGGTGGTCTATAGCCAAGCTCAATGGCCTGCCTGGCAAACTTTCTGATCTCTGGAACCTTGTTCTCCTATCCCGTCCCCAGAGCTCCTGAAGCTGAACTGCAAGTGAACTAGACTCTCATAATCCAACACACAAAAGAGGCAGAAAGGTCCTGAGCAGGAGACCATGCGCCTCTTTCAGCCATGAGGGTAAGCGATGCCATGAACACGCCCGCATGGAGGCTCAAGGAGGAGTGGAGAGAGGACAGTGCTGCCCACAACCACCAGAGCCAGGCCAGAGGCTCAGGGCCTGTTTGTCCCTCGTGTCAGGAGGCTGGCCTAGGGGAGACAGGATCACTGCCAAACTGTGTGAGGAGTGGAGAGAGGACAGTGCTGCCCACAACCACCAGAGCCAGGCCAGAGGCTCAGGGCCTGTTTGTCCCTCGTGTCAGGAGGCTGGCCTAGGGGAGACAGGATCACTGCCAAACTGTGTCCTGTGACAGTCTAGACAAAAAAAAAAAAAAAAAAAAAAAAAATGGAGCTTTTTTTAAGGATGACTAAACTAGAATTTCAGATACAGAGTAAAGTTACCAGTCCTTAGGAAACTTTGCCATAGTTAAGAAACTGTTCTTGTATGAGGAGAAGCAGAGATGCCAGGCTGGATACATTCCAAAGCAGTACCCAAAGTATGTGATCTAAACCCCACTAATGGACACCCTCTTTCACTCTTCCCCACCTTCCCTGCCCTACCTGGGGGGAACCCATGGTTTCTCTCTTTACGGGAAACCACTAGCTAATTTTAAAAAGTCCCATGTAGGATCATTACTCACACGCTTTTCTGAAGGACAATTCTAATTTCTGAACCCAAAAGCAGGACTTGGTCAAGAGAAAGGCAAGAACCAAAAGTCCTTTCCGATGAATAAGAAAATTTCACTTATTCAAGGATGAAACAAAGAGGGAACTCAGGCATTTTGGTGCCTGAAAACATCCCTGTAGGTGTTGTCAGAGGGACTTGGCAAAAGCAGCTGACATTACGCTTGGCATTTCCCAAAAAACCAAGTTGCCTTGGGAATTAATCCCGTTTTTTAAGAAACTGCCTTTCTTTCTGGGAACCAACTTGCTTTTTAGAATAATGAGTCATGAAGGAGTTCACAGAGAGGCTTTTGCTTTTTGCTGCATTTTTCTTTGTTCTACATGACAGACACTGGCAAAGAAAGCTGCTGCCAGGGAGAGTGGCAAAGCTAGAGGGAGAATGGACACTTAGACATAGGACCCTTCTGTCCTTTGGAAGAACACTGGGGCCACACAGTATCAAAATGAATAAATAAATAAATAAATAAATAAATAAATAAATAAATAAATATAAAAAGCCCCACTGAAACCACTAAAGCAACCATCTAAGATTTAAGCAACCATATTTTAAGTGAGAGAAAATGTGTTATGTACCAGCTTTTCCAGTTAGAAGCAAGAAAGAGAACCCTATCTTAGGTACGGAAAGCTATAGAAATTAGATTTTAGCTCCACCTTCTCTAAGGGAGGGGCAGGAAAGGGAGGAGACTATGAAATGGATGAGGAAGGTGACAAGAAAAGATTTAGAACCAAGCTTTGAGCTATAGACAGTACACAGCCCTGCACTGTTCCCAGAGTTCAACATGGAAGAGTCCTCTCCAGGGAGATGGCCTGAAAATGTCCCATTTCATCTTGCAAAAGGACTTTTATAAACACAAACTTTATGCCTCTGTGCAACTCCAAAATGGAAAAGTTGGGATTTAGAACCATTGCCTGAATTTTAAAGCAGAAAGGTAAAAATATATAATGACTACTTCATAGCTCTTGGGTTTTATAGATCCCGAGGCCCCTTCAGAGATGAGCAAGACCAACTAGAACAGCCAGAGAAAACTGTAGGAATCCATCAGAACCCCTAAGCAGAGCTAGTTGTCTGGGCCAGGTGGATGGAATCAGTGCAAACAGACGCACGAGTCTCTGCCACAGAGATTGCCACTGAATGGCCTTACCACAGAATATGCTGTGAGAAGAGGACTAGCCAATAACCAGGAGAAAGTCTAGAAGCCTCTGTTTCAGATTGTCTACATTGTAGACAATCATCTATTCAGTGTTTCCTTTTTTGAAATCTGGTATTCAAAACCGCACCTTCTAGAAACTTACTCTTTGAACAAGTCAGTCATTCATGACAGCACCTAAAAGACGTATTTTAGCAACATGTTTGGGGCAAAGCACCATTACAAATCGTACGATGAAGAACCAGGAGGCATAAACTTTCACTTTTGTACATTAACTGTCTGAAGATAAACACAAAAGACAAGGTATAAGCAATGAACTTGAACTAGCCTGACATCATTCCAGATCGGGGGTCTCTGTCTCGCTGTGAGGGCTGATATACCTTATGGGTCCTGCAAGGGCAAATGGCCTGAGGCAGGGTTGGGGAGAGTTGCTGACTACAGCACCCTGCAAGAGGCTGCCTTACCTCGATTGTGCTGCAAGAGCACGATGGTGGGGTTGACGATTGTGGTGGAGGGGTAGGCAGATGACGGTTTGCTTGTTGGAAGGAAGGCTTGGGAATCAGTTTCAATATGGGAAGAAGAAACTTCATTTATTAAAGGACTGCCCTGAAAAACAAAAGGTTAGAAAGAAGTGTGAACACAAGACATCTAGAATTATGACTCTGTAAGAAGAGGGAATGAAACTCTCTACAAAGACATTATTTGTAGACAAAAATTTAATCAATGAGTCAATTCCAGTTAAACTGGAAATGTATTCTCCTTGTTGGTATTAGTAAGGGGGAAGAGAAGGAAGGTAAGTAAATGTTGCTGGAAGTTTCAGTATCGCCCATTGTTTTCACCTAGTAATAGTTGTGTATCAATCTGGTTACTAAAAAGCAAATTCAAATCAAAAAAGAATAGCATGCAAAACTCATGCAATTCCAAATGCGATCCAAGAACGAGAGCTGGTTAAGTGGGAAAAGCCAGGGAAGTTTAGGCACCCTATGGAGAGATGTCAGACAAGTCACTGAGATAAGAAGAGGAGCCCCTATGTAATGGCTCTCAGGGAAGTTACTGTGAACCTCGGAATCACTGAGCAAATTCAGCAGCTGTGGCTTCTGAGATCTGAGCAGGACCCTACCCTGCCAGAATGCTTCTTCTCTCCACTGTAAGAACAACAGAAGTCCTTTGAACCAAGTCGTGGGAGAATCCTGCCTTTAAAAACCCGAGACTGCCACCAGAAATATCAACAAGTTACTAACACTTTTATCATCTGATCATGGGGATAATGCCAGCCTTTTGTTTCCTCCACCACACTTAGAGGTTCTGCAAAGTTTTTATTTTATATCATTCAAACCTAAAAGCAAAGATGGCAATCCCCATGTCCCAGTTCTGGGGACGGAACTAAGGGCTGAGGTAGGCAAACACTCTACAACCTCAGGGTGGCATTCTTTTTTTTTTTTTTTTTTTTTTTTTTTTTTTTTTTTTTTTTTTTTTTGTTAAAGACAGGGTTTCACTATACAGCCCAGGCTAGCTTAAAATTCCCTATGTAGACCAGGCGAGACTCAAACTCAGCAATCCACTTGCCTCTAGGCATGCACCACCATGCTTGGCAAGATGGCATTCTTAAAGGGCTTTAAGAACAAGATATTGGTAGCTATTTCTGAAACAATTATGCTCAGAGACAGCCACTGCATCACCTGCAAGACAAGGACCACATGCCTCCCTCTTCTGCCACCATACAACACAACACCCTGCAAATAGCAAGTGCTCAGAAAATTACTATGTAAGTGACAGAAGCTATCTACCAGCAAGGGAGTGTGTGAGCTAAACCTTGTGGCAACAGAATGCTCATCGTGAGCAGTGTGGGTTTCAGCACCACGGACAGCTCTTGACACACAGTAGGGGCTTTGCCACTGCTTTGTTTTAGATAGTCCCTGGATAGTCACTTTTATGAGCTCAATTTTGTGAATAAGATATTTTTTCCAAGGCTTGAGGGGTTTGTATCAACTTATAGCCTGGATGCCACCCACAGGGCATCTAGAGGGGCAATCAAGCAGTCTGCTTTTAATCTCTTACTCTGTTACCTAAAGACCCAAAATAAATGTTGCTAAGCCAACTTCTGGAGAGTCTACTGCAGAACAATTAGGCCAGTTGGACAAACTGCATACACTAATCTGTCCTAGAACACAAAAAAACAAACCCCAAACACACACCTAGAGCTAAACAAACGCTCAACAGCAGGATGACTTACAGCGACACCAGAGTGCTCTCCAGTAAGATTCACTATACTTGCTTGTACAGAGAAACACACTGGAGAGATATCAGCACATCCTAAAGTGGAATGCCTTCAAGTTCACCTAGAGGTTCAGCTAAGGAGGATGGGTATACATCAGTCTGCAGCAGAGATGAGCTCCAAACTCATGGTTACATCTGACCTCGTCCTGGTCTAACTGCCCTGGGCTGCAGCAGGAGATTTGACAAGATGTCCAGCCCATGAAGTAATAATTCCCAGCTTCCGTGTGCTTAACACCTCATTATAATTTTCCTACTGAGCAAAATAAGAAGTTTCCTTCCTGTTCTCTGATTCAGCTCAACAAGCCATTTAAGCCAGTTTCTTGAGCATACTTCTTCTAGTTCGGTCAGCATATACATGATACTCGGCTCACTGTACATCAGTAATGGTGTTTATGGCCCCAACATCAAAACCCTTGGATACTTACAACCAAGTGAGAGGCCCAACGCCTAGCCCATTCCCAGACCCACTCAATTAAAGTGGTGATATATAAACTAGGCTTCTCTAGCTTGAGAGCAGATGTACTCTATCCCTTTTCCAGATTATTTAAGAGCAGGAGCCCTAGCTTGTTCTAAGTATACCTGTGAAACCTTCTTGCTTAGAACATGGTACGGATGAAGCCATCACTAACTAACCAGTTACTTTAACTTCTTCATTCACTGGGAAGAGTCCTCAGCAACGCAGCTAACAGTAACCAGATACATCACCTATGTTGAACTAAACCATGAGTTCCTATCATGGGAAGAGTTACTATTCAACACCACTGAACCCTATGGCCTCTGAGTGTCCTCATATTACAACTTATGTCATTCATTCAGATTCTCTCATCCTGGGCTCCTAGGGAAGGAGACATACTGTGCCCTGAAGCAGCTGGGCTGTCTGTGAAGAGACTGATACTGAACAGACAAGACCTTTTAACTTCCCACAATTACTGACATATAAGTTTGCCACCAAAACCACAGTGGCCTCCTCAGGGGCCCTAGCAATTATCTGTCTTGTAAGAAGGTCTTAACATACAGATTTTCAGATCCATTTACTCAATTAACTCCCCCTCTCCCCACCCCCAGTCTCTGCACTTGTTAAAAAGAGAGCCCACTTATGAACTCAGCCAAAAGTGAATCTTTTCCTCCCCATAACCTCTCTGCCCCTTCATTTTCTAGCCTCACACCTGCCTGTGGCTCTCCACAGGACACTGCAACTTTCCTCAGCCTTCTGTGCTGTGTCTGCCAAGCCTAGGAAGACCAGGACCAGGCAAGGTAAAGGCCACGGGTGCTTCTCAAAGGGAAGACAAAGTTCCATCAAGAAGACATGCATTCCCAATAGAGCAGAGAAGAGAAGGTTCTCGAGTCAAGAGCAGCCACGGGTGGCCCACAGGGTGCACATGGGAGGCATGCACTTGGAGACAGCAAACACAGGTCCAGTCATCACACAAGCACAGTGGCCAAGGCCTCCTCATAACTTAGTACTTCAGTGAGAAAGGGAGGATTTTACTGCCAGGAGCAGACATTCAGGGAAGCCGTGGGGAAGGGGGTCCAGCAAGCTTACGGTACTTGAGACAGGTCCCGGGAGGTCAGGCTCCAAGGCTCTGTGGAGGTCCTCCGGTATGGGAGGGACCAGCGGAGGTGGTGGTGAGGGTGGTGGCCTCTGGCTAGCAGGGGGGAGGGAGCCACAAGCACTGGCTGGCTGGCTGTGGTGGGGCCGCCTCTGCAGATGAGGGGGAATGAAATCATCTAAAGTCGGGAAGGTCAGAGGTGAGGCAGCAGGGGTGGTCGCCGGGATAGTGTGGATGCAGCCAAGTGGCCCCAGAGATGCTGGAGTTGTGGCAGTGCCTTCTTGCCCTCTGTCAGTATTAACCAGGTAGAGAGGGACAACTATTACCTCAGACGGGGCTGGGCTGGAGGTGGCATCCTGTGGGGAATAAGGGGTCGTTATGCAAAGGGGACTGCAGAGAGGCAGGAATCCCACATTTAATAAACATACGGACATGCAGTGATGCTCTTTGAGAAATATTTAATCAGTGCCCTTTCCTCAGAGTACATGAGACAGTCAGTGCTAGCCAGTGCTAGCCAGCTGGCCTCCTGACACTCTATGACACAGAGGGAGCCCCATCCAAGTTCACTTTCCATCCATCTATTTTTGAATCCTTTTAACGCTTTATGAGAGAGAAAGAGAGCAAACAACAGAATATGCAGGCAGGCAAGCAGGCAGTGTCTAACGCCACTAAACCACCATAGAGCCTGCAAGCTTGGGAGCAAATACAGTTTCTTTAGCACCTTGTCATAGGATATAAACACTCTATCTCACCACAGTATTAGTCTATGAATTCCACGCTCTGGCATACTGAGATATTTACAGACAAGAGACAGGGAGACAGAAGAGGCTATGCTGGGAGGTTTAGAGATTCAAGCGCCGCAGCCCTAAGGAGGAGAGAAACAGCAAAAAAGCCCAGAGAACAAGTAAGCCACTTGAAAGAGACAGCGTAGAAGACACACAAATATTCCTAGTTTCTTGCCTTGGCTGGATAACACGGCTGCAAAAGGTAAGTTTCTTTGTTCTTCTGGTTTTCAGGATCAGAGGTAACCTGGGGGCCTAGCACGGGAGGCCTCACTGCATCTGGGAATGAGGCCCATGTCCCCAGTGTGGGATTCTCACCAAGGTTACCAGCATCTTTGCGGTGGTCAAAGAATAGCTTGGGAGGGTCAGGAGGAGGAGCAGGGGGTGGTTTTCCTGTGCTGGCTGTGGCTGTGCCAGGGACAAGGCTGGAAGCTGGTGCCTGGGTGCCTGCAGCCTCCAAGGGAGTGTCTTTGGCTAAGTCACGTGCAACAGGAGAGTAGTTTTCCAATGTTGCCTGGCAAATGTTATTGGATAAACATGGGACATATAAGCTGGTGACCTTCTTATTCCCTGTGGCCTCATGACGTGGGTTAGAGTTCACATTCTTACCGTACACTAATCTGGAGGCTGCATAGTGTTGCTGGGGTTGGGAGGAAGCATCAAGGACCATGGACCCCAAAAGCAATGAACTAGGACACATGGCACCTTTGGGAGCCAGTCTAGCTGCCAGGGGAACAGAAATGGGGGGAGGAAGTGATGGGTTCTGCTGGATGGGGGTGCTGGATGGGATGTAAGGCTTTGGTGAGCTCATGTAGAGAGAGTCCTTGTGGTTGTAGTGGACAGTGGGGGGCTGCCATGCAAAGCGGTCCTTTTGAGGGAAAGGAAGGCGTGACAGAGACAGAACCTTTAGTAGTGGGTTTTAAGACATGACAGAACAGGGAGAGAGAAAGAGGAGGGATGGAGAGAAGGATCATTAGGAACAGCAGCACAGCATGATGAAAGACAAAACAACTCTTGACAGACTTTTGAAGCAAATCCTGGTGTCCACAGCTGTCATCCAGGCAGCTCTCAGGACTGACTCACTTACCTGCAGGGCTGGCCTGACTCACAAGTCAGGGAGACCTAGCCAGCTCCAACACCAATGTTAGTTTGGCTGTACCTTTATTGACTCCCTGACTCAAGGACATGCTCAAGGGGGCAATCTGCAAGTGGATGAAGCCCCAGAGTTGAGTCTTCGTTCCTTCCCAACCCCCCTTTTCTCAAAACTCTTATTGAAGCTATAGTTTTAAAAGTTTAAGTTCATTAGACTTGTCTGAGTTGCTTTAACTTTTTCCCTGTAGGAAAAGGACAAATGGAAAGTCCTCCTATATATGTGTTCACAGGAGGCCGATGTCTTCCTTTAGCCCCCAGTTCAGCTCTCAATTTTACAAGCATACAAAGTTCACTAAGGGGAGGACACTCAAGACTGAACCCGTATGCGCTCTTTTCTCAGAAGAAATAACCTGATAGAACTCATCACTAGAAACACAGCTGAGAATGTGGCTCAGTTTGGCTAGCATGTACAAGGCTCTGAGTTCAATCCCCAAAACTATAATAAAAGGGCATGGGAGACAGTCAAGAGATTAAAAGCATGTAGTCTCCCACTTCTGAGGCATCTGGCATGAAATTAGCCTATGGGGTTGGGCTGAGTCTGGTTTATTCAGCCAGTCCACCACCATGCACAGGCAATCATTTCTATACTTGGGTGATCAACTTTAGCCACAGTGTGAGAACTAAGCTCTGGTAACAGGCTCAGAGTTACAGCTAAAATTCATACCTCTCCCGTCTCGGCTCAACAGCTTTCTTTCTTCCATGGATCTCAGTGGGCAGAGGGAGAGGATGCAGGGTGACCCTCAAGTCTGATCCTCCTCAGACAACCTGTGGCTCATCTGAGGACCAGACTCCCAATGTTCCTAGACTTTGTTCACCAGCCCTGATCTCCAGGTTTCATCATGAGAACAAAACCAGAACCCTCCTAATTCACAAATTGGTGAATATACGGCAGTTGTAGTAGAAAACTAGAAAGGAGTTGGGAAGATGTCTCCATGAGTAAGAGCACTTACTGTGCAAGCAGGAGGACCCGAGTTGAAATCCCCAGAACCCAAATAAAAAGCCTGGCATGTCTGCACATTCCTGTAACCCTAACAATGTAGGGGCAGTGACAGGGGGACCCCAGAACTCACTAGCCAGCTGACCAGGCTGAAATGGCAAACTTGTGATTCATTGAAAAGCCCTGTCCCAAAGGAGTAAGACAGACAACCAGAGGAGACCACCTAACATCCTTCTTTTGTCTTTGTATGTGCACACAGAGGAGCATATCTACATATGCACATGTATGTGGCACACGGCGACTATATTGAGGCCATTTCTCATTTTATTTTATATTTTATAAAAGATATGTGGGAAAGGGAAAACACTAGAAAGGGGACTAGGTGAAAAAGCGGGGGGGGGGGGATCTTTGACTGTGGATTAGACAGCCATCAAGAAATAATTATCAGCCTACATCTTAAACACAGGTTTGAAATGACAGATGATAGTCTGGGTAGAGAGGTGACCATTTGGGTATTCTCTGTTAACCAGATCCGTGCCTTGTCCCAGTGTACCTACAATAGTGCTAATGGAGCATGGCCATTTATAACAGCCCCAAACCCACAACAAAGAGCCCCTCTGGAGCAAAGGCTATCACATTAGCTATTTGGTTTAATGAACTTGGACTGAGTGTCAGGACATTCTACAGTACATTTACAATCTCTAGAAACAAGTTGGGGGGGGGGGGGGGGGGGGGGGGGGGGGGGAAGCAAGCAGAAAATCATTTTGATCTGGGCTCAGATTTACTTTGACTTTACACTAGAGTATCTTACATGTTATTTCTTTTGTCCAAAGATAGAAATCGGCTTCTATGAGTTTTAAACTTAATTCAGCCATGGCCATGTATGGTACCAGGATTGCATGACATCAGGCACAAGTCCTCTTAGGGTTGTGACCTTGCAGAGAGGACACTTCCCCAGAGTGTCCACAATACACACAGAGTCAAAGGACTTCCTGTCTTGGGGCTTCTTTTAACTCTAGAGAAGAAGGCGTTAGGCTGGTCAAGAACACAAAGGAGCAGCTTTTTGCTTCATTCTAAGTACTGAAGTCTAACCTGCCTACTGACCATAATGAACTCCACTTATCCTTTTAGAATGTGGGTCTATAGTAGAGGAAGGCTATTTGGGAAATGTGTGTTCTTAGCTTATACAGTTTCCAGAAACTACCAAGGCTCATCTACTGGGACTACCATGCTGATGATAACATCACAGAAAGGGACACTGTGGTTCCCCGGCCCTGGGAACAGGGGGAGGCAAGGCTGGGTGGGCAGCACATAAGATTCCCACCTAGTCCATCCATCTTCTAAACCTCAACTCAGTCCTTAAGGGAAGATGTTCTGCCAACAGATCCATAAACTCCATGGGTCTGGAACAAAACCAAGTAGTTGGCCAGCCTGCCTTGCCTTTATTGAAGCCGGTGTATAATTATAGCAAGTACTATACAGCTAAGGAGTCATGTTTACTTTCAGAAAATAAATCTGCAAAGTAACACAGGACATAAAGTTCTTGACATCCAAACGGCAAATCTTACATTGAACGTGCAGAATAAAATTCTGGCATCAGCTATTTGTCAGTCTCCCTGAAGACAGCCCAGGAAACTTGAAGCTCAGTAACAAACAGATGAAAGCATGCTGGTGGAGGAATTACAGGATGCTCAACCTCCCTCATGAACTCAGCTTCCCTCATGAACTCGAGGGCAGTGTTCATCACACTGGTCTGAGTACAAGTGCCTAATAAAGTTGTGTTGAATACAACACAAATGATTCATCTTTACCTCACATGTGATATTTATTTACTTACATGGTGCTGGAAAATGAGTCCTGGGCCTTGTACATACTATGCAAGTTTTTCACCCCCCAATACAATCCTACCCTGGACCATGCTTTTTTTGTGTGTTCACAGAACTAAGAGGCACTGGAGGGTTAGCCTTTGGGTTAAGTCACTGATGGTGAAAGACAGTGTCCTTCAGTGTTTGCTCTGACTTGGTCCTGATGGTGTTCTAATCTGGGTGGAACAATAGTATCCATCCTTGAGATGGCTATGAAGGAAGTACTGCTGCCACAGATAGCACATTATACACTCACAAAGCTTTTAGAAACGGGAAAATTCTGTAAAGCCATTTAACAGACAAATGACCTCTGGGAGGCCAGGCATATCCACAGCTCCTGGATCCAACCAGGGCCTAGATGTACAAGGCTGAAAGTGGGGAGGTAAGTTATAGCAGGAGGAAGAAATGCTTTACCCTGTAGCTCATCAACAAGACAGATGAGGGACCAACTATAGACCCGGGAGACAGGTCTGCACAGAGAGTAGATACCACCTGCCTTTCTTGTATGTTCTAGGAACACTGGAAGGGAGCACAGGGGCTGTACCACCCAGGGATCTTTTGATCAGCAGCATCTCCTGTAAGGAAGAAGGCTCCATCTCATGTAAGTGGTTCCTCCTTACACAACATCCTTCACATTCCACTGCAATGATAGGTTCTATTCCTTTTAACAAAATAACAAAGTACAGGGGGAAGAAGGAAGAAAGAGTAGAAAACCATCCAGCAGCCACAACCAAAGTCATCCCCATTCCAACTGTAATAGCTGTAAAGGGCTGTCTTCCACGAAAATACTAGCCATGATAACCCTGCTTAGCCTCCAAAATCACATGAGATTGTGCCTGTTCGGGGTGGTATGGCTGTAGATGGGGGATTTTCTATTACAGAGCACAGTGGGACTGGGAAGCCAGACTGTGTCGCCATTGTGATTTCTGTCCTCGATCCTTTGGGTTACTGGGTTTATGGTCTAGCCACAAATACATGATGTTAAGTCGTGAGGACAGTGTTCAGAGTCTCAGCTTTAGAAAGTCAATGGCGTAAACACCAGAGGCACTCCTTAAAAATAAGCTCAGACTTTCTCCTACCTCCTTCTTTCAGAACCCTTCCACGTGCATATTAAGCCTAGAAAACAGCAGCCCTATTTCCAACACCACACGGACCAATCTAATCCCATACTCCTGCTCCCTTTGGCCCCCGCTCTCCACCTAAGAAAGCTACTTCAGAGATGGCCAAAAACTGGACCCCCATGAGTTTGGGCTGCCAAACTTGGGAATAGGCCAAGTTCCCATCCATCTGTGGGGCACACACCTACCTGGGGTTTGTCAGTAGAAAGGCTGGGGTGCACACTTCTATAGCCCTTGGCAGCAAGTGGGGAGGGCTGGGCATTGCCATTGGCGTCAGCACTGGAAGAAAGTCTCCACTCATCTGAGAAAACAAAAACCAAAACCCGCCATCACTCAAGGGTAACACCCGCTGCCTTTCTTCTACCTCCCTGGTGTCCCAAGGCACAGAAAGTAAGAATGCAAGAAAAGCCATACCTGCTGAAAGGTCCTCCTCTGGCTCCAGGCCTGTGCGAGGAGCAAGAAGGATGAAAACAAAAAGGGAAAGGCAGAAACGGTTACGTTTGCAGGAAGCAAGCATGAGACACACTGGCTGATGAAAATCAGCAGCCCTGGTCTGACACAAAATGCCCTCAGTCACCACGGCACATTACCATAGGAACCCACTTGAAACCATGATGTGTTCACAGGCGCTGACCTTTGAGAACACAAGGCTACATTCACAGGAATGAAGAAACAATTGTTCCTTGACATTCTTACTTTACAGACTGAAAGGCAACAGAACTCTCTGCTGTCCGGTCCTTCTTCATCTCATTCCATCCCAAAGCCTGCTGTAGGCTCAGCATGGGTGCACCTTACTTAGCAGGCTGAGTTAATTAAAGGGTCCCAGCAGTAGAACATGACTGAAGCCTCAATAGCATGTTTTTGTTTGGGGGGATTTGTTTGTTGATCCCTGTCTCCATTCCATTAAACAAGGCACAAAAACATTCACAATATGGGCTGGAGAGATGGCTCAGCAGTTAAGAGGGCTTTGTGACATAATCAAGAAGACCAGAGTTCAGATCCCAGTACCCACAGAGCAAGCCAGGAATCCCACAAATGCCTGCAACTCAAGCTCCAAGGGATCTGAAGCCCTTTTCTGGTCTCCACCAAGAGGACAGGGATAGGGAGAGAGGAGCACACACAAATAAATAAATCTAACAAAAAATTTAAAAGAAAATTCCACACCTGATTTGATTTCACGTGACAGATCAGAGTCAAAATGCAGGTGTGCTAAAAAAAAATATACTAGGCTACATGTATGAAGTTACGTGAAACAGATGACTCTCCTGTTTACGCTTGGGTTCTTTCCATAGCAATCTCTGTTATTTATAATGCAAATGCTCTAAAATCTAAAAGAATAAGATCTGAAATACTTCTGATCTCAAGCACTTCAAAGAAGACCCATGACTCTCTCTGTGACTGTTTATCACAAGGAACAGCCAAAGATAACCCATAAATGAATGAGCTGTGTTCCCAAACACCCTTATTTATGAACATTAAAATTTGAATTTCTTTTCTTTTCTTCTTTTTTTTTTTTCTTGTTTTTTCGAGACAGGGTTTCTCTGTGTAGCTTTGGAGCCTATCCCGGCACTCGCTCTGGAGACCAGGCTGGCCCTGAACTCTCAGAGATCCGCCTGCCTCTGCCTCCCAAGTGCTGGGATTAAAGGCATGAGCCACCAACACCTGGCATTAAAATTTTAATTTCAAAGGTTTTTATACCGTATATAATATCATTATTGTTTGCATTTTTCTATCAGCCATTTAAAATAAAAAAGTCATTCTTAGTCAACAAGCTGGATTTTGCTCTTGGCCAGTTTGGCCACCCCTCCTCTTGCAATCCTTTCGAAACCCATCCCTCTGTTTCCTGAGGGGCCTCCTTTTCTCACTCCTGTAGAGATAAGCAGAGGACTCATTGTCCTTGAAGTCCAAGCCTTCACTGTGGGTCTCTCAGACCAACCATAGATTTTCCAGATGACAAGTTGAGACATGCAAACATTTATTGAGAGGTACAAACCAAGTGCCAGACATGGTTACACTTTACACCTATTTAGTATTTAATTTAATTAAATGCTTAATGTACTTCATGGATGAGCAAACAGAGAGGCCAAATGCTTTGCCCAGATCAGAGAGCCTCACACAGGGGAGAGACAAAGCAGTTCAGTACCGCAGTCACCACCCATAGCTGCCAACTATTCCAGCAGCCAGGGAGATGCTAGAGGCCAGAAGGTACCAAAGCAAAAGGTAAGGCGGGTGGCCTACATCCCACGAATAACATGGTCTAGCTGTGTCAGTCAGGGAGAAGTCTTGGCAAATCCAGATTGATGAGACTTACTCCAGTATTTATGATCCAGCAAGAGAGATGGGGGCCTAAGAGTTTGCATTTCCAACAGTTCCCAGTGATGCTGACGCTGGCAGTTCACAACCTAACTCTAACAACTACTAGATGGCACACTCAAAAATAACCTTATTTTGCGACACCCCTCAAGGCTCAAGGATCATCTCAGAAGAAGAAGCAGAAAGACTATTGTAACTAGTGGAAGGTTACAATGAAACAGTTTTCCTGACTAACAGGAAAAATTCGCACATGAACTCATAGCAACTCTAACAGCATTGAGAAGACCCAGCAAGCCAAAGTCAGAGGAAATTTGAGTTCAGAGTAGGAGAGGTGTAGTTGTTAGCTTTCTTTGAGGGTGCGGCCTTTGGTAGGTTGAGAAGAGTCCTGGGCAGGTCCCATATCCAAGATTATTTTAAGCAGCCCAAATGACTAAAACAGATGAGTTTTAAAAAACAACAACAGAAAGAACACAAAGTTAAGTGGGTAGGGTGGTGGGAGTGGGTCTGCAAGGAGTTGGGAAAATGAATATGATCAAAATACAGTATGATATTCTCAAAGAATTAATACAAATATTTCTAAAATATTCTTATTTAGGGGAAAACAACTTATTGTCATACTCGGCAAATCCAGAATTTTAAGGTGACTCATATATACTCTTGTATAGACAGGTTGCCTATTACATCTCTGACATTCCTTATAGATAGTTCATGGCTATCTGTCTTCTCCAACAGCCACCATGTTAAACACTCACAAGGAATGTGCTTTACACATGCTACTGTTACTACAGTGTACTGGCTGGATAACCTTCTTTTTCAAGTTGCTATTTCTAGACACCCTTGCTGGGGCACTTCTCAAATGCATGAAGTTTATATATACACCAAATAGCAATAGGCTTCAAGTGAGGGGCTACTTGATGATGGAGGCAAATGCAGCACATAGACTTAGGGACACATTATTTTGCCTACTTTTTGGCTTCCTATGGGGTTGGTTCTATTCAAGTCACACCAGAAAACAGTCATATCGTGAAAATTGGGGAGTGACTGTTCTTCTAAACCTATAGGCATCAGAAGGAAGCCATCCTCATGCAATCAGATCACTTCCTGTGAGCTCAATTGTCTGCCTTGTTGAGTGTATATCCTCAATTGCAAAACAGTCGCAGGACCAAATAAAAGTATATGGCTCAGAGGTAGGAGAGATGGCTCAGTGAGAGCATTTGTTGCTCTTGCAGAGGACCCAGATTCGAGTCCCAGCTAGTCATTTTTCTTTAAGGGTGTGAACCCTCACACATCAACTTGGTGATTCAAAACCAACCCTAACTCCAGTTCTAGGGAATTCAATGCCCTTTTCTGACCTCTGCAGGCAAAACATTCATACACATAAAATTAAAATAAAATATACAGCATAAAGTACAGGGTTTATAAAACTGGAGTTCAAAACACACAGAGAAATCCCCACAGACATAAATCACAGGGTATATGTGTGTTAGTCATTACAGTTTTGGTTCTTGTGTGTTTTATGTCAATGTGTGGTATACACACACACACACACACACACACACACACACCTTATGTTTGTGCATGTGGAGGCCAGAGGTCAACAAATGAGTATCCTTCAGTCTCTGTCCATCTTGATTTTTAAAACAAGATCTCTCACTAAACTTGGTACTCACTGATTCAATTAGACTGCTCACCAGGAAGCCCACAGGACCCTCCTGTTCTTTCTCTACTCCAGCACTGGTTACAGACATGAATAACTATGCTGGGCTTTTACAGGGGTACTGGGGATCCAAGCTCAGGTCCTCAGACCTGCACAGGAAGTACTGAGCCAGCACCACAGCTCTGTCTGTTTTTGAAACAGTGCCTTACTATACAGTCTGACTGATGTGGTATTTGGTGTGTAGCCCAGGCTGGCCTCAGACTCTCAGCAATCCTCTAGCTTTTGCCTCCCTAGTATTGAGATTACAGGTGTGCACCACCACATTCAGCCTAAAACACCAAAAAATTCCCAAAGATATAAATTACAGTATGTGATCTCTCCATTTAGTAAATTCAAAGTCATACTGTCCTTGGAAAAATGACTTGGATTTTTTTTCTTCTCATTTCAAATCTTCAAAACTGCTTCCTTGACTGTGCCCAAAAGGGAAATTCCCAGGATCTCAATAAGCAGCTTGGTTACTTATTGAAGAAGAGCAAATCTCTGGCATTTTGTCAGCCCTCATCCATTATCTTTTCTTCTGAACCTGGAAGGTTGGTAGCAGCCCAGGGCCAATTATATTTGAGTGCACAAGGTGAAGTTTTACATACATAGTCATCAATTACCGACTGCTGATGGAAGAGACTGTCAAAATGCTTCCTCCAATAAAATGGAAGGTTGGCTTGCAGATGGATTTGCAGTCTGAAGATGCTCAACCTTTCGGTAAAAAACATAATCTACTTTGCCCCTCGGCTAAAAGCCTCCAGATATCTGCTTTTATCTTATTTACTTCTAATTTCATTTCTGGCTTCTTGTTTATTTTTTAAAAAAACAGTCAGTTCTTCTTGGGATCATAGGATGCTGTTCACTAAGGCAGACACAACATGGTCTGGAAAGAACTCACAAGGTAGATGATATGTGCTGAAGGCGGTCTACACGTGTTTCCAACTCACACTGTACTTTCCTTTTATATATGTGACATGTTGGAGAATTTCATATCACAAATTAAAAAGTCTGGCCTTTACCCTAGACTTCTGGTAGGTAACTGCCAAGTCTCTGGAATGCTACACTGAATAGGAAAGTCTTGTTTACCTGAGGACTTGAACCACACCAATGTGATGTGGAGCCAGAGTTTTGAGCCAGTCAGAGCTCCACTGCCTCGTAGAGTGGATGATATGAGCCTCTAAGAAAGACAATGGCACACCTATGTTCAGAGCCCCAGTAAAACTTTAGATAGAGGCTTACACACTGATGCTGGGAAATAATGTGTCTGGGGTGCTTTGGTATTTTCCAGACCCTATACCATGCACTTCTCTGGGCTGATTTTAATCTCTACTCTTCCCCTGTAGTAAACAAACAGGCCCCTTCTAGCATTAGCACTGAGCCTGAGGTGGTTTGAGGAGTCCCCTAAATTTGCAGTTGTGTGTTAGAAGGAAAAGTGCTGTATTGGGAGGCTCTTTCCTCTAACTTTTCAGTTGGCCCTAATTCTCACACATACACTCATAATAAAGACTGCTTTAATGGGCAAAGAGGGTCTAATTTATGAGACATGTGCCACTGCCAACACAAGAGTGTTGTGGATATTTGCACATGATGTGAAGATGTGTTGCTGTGGTTGGGTGAATAAAAAAGTGGAATGGCCAATAGCTAGACAGGAGAGGTTAGACAGAACTTTCGGGCAGAGAGAACTCAGGGGGTTAGAATCTAGGGTTGTGAGAGATACCAGCGAGACACAAAGCAAGTTGAACATACAAAACGGAAACGAGGTAAAAAGCTACATAGCAGAACATAGATTATTAGAATTAATAGAAACAGGTTAGGAATACACACACACACAAGCACCACCACCAATAACGACAAATAAAAAGAGGTCATGATTTTAGTGAGAGCAATAAAGACTCAGGGTTCTTAAGTGAGGCTGGGGGTGGAAAAAGGGAAAAAATGAAATTATACTATAGTTTTTGTTGTTGTTTTGTTTTGTTTTTCAAGACAGGGTTTCTCTATGTAGACCTGGCTGTCCTGAAACTCACTTTGTAGATGAGGCTGGCCTTGAACTCACTAAGATCCACATGCCTCTGTCTCACGAGTGCTGGGATTAAAGGCATGCACCACCACCACCTGGCTACCATAATCCTTTTTTTTATAAAAAATAAAATTATTTTAAAAAAAGATTTGCATCAAGCAAAAGAATGTGTGTGCAAGAAATAAAATCAGACCCTCAAAAAGGAAAAAATGGGCACAACTGATAACTGCCGCTGAGTTCTTCCAAGTATTTGTATTGTAAGAAATTTTAAAGACTCACTGAAAAGGATTAAGTTATTTCCCATGGAATTTATTGTAATAAATTTGTGGGAATTACCATAGGTGTATGTCTCACTAGATTCGATTCTTTTAAATAATATATGTAAGTTCAGTCACAATCATTGAAAATCAATATTAAATTGATGCTGCTTCAAAAAATAAAAAATGTGGTCTGTTCTGCATTAGTGCCAGCTACAACCACTAGAGGGAGCCTTAAGCCAGAAATGATTTTGCCTTTCTTTTCACCTGCATCTTTCCCAGAGAAGAGAAAAATTACAGACTGCAACAGCTCAGGAATCAAGAGAAGGCTTAGAAGACCAAGAAGCCCTAGGCCATCTTTTGGTGCTGAGGACTGCTCAGGTCTTCCCTAAGCCTAGGAACAAGGATGACCTCCCCAGGGGATCAGTATTACCTCAAAGGAGCTTGTGACCGAATCTTAGCCTGGCCTCATTCTCAAGCGTCTACCTTGGTACCCATTATAGGTGGCTGGCTCAGGAAGTCAGTAGAAGCGAGCATTACTCATTTGCATCCTACATAATTCCACCATGTCACAACACCCGCCTCCCACTGTATCACAAGTTGAAAGCCCTGTTCCCTTTATACTCTGGTTCCAAGAGTGTACTAAAAGCTTCCCAGTTTCCAAGGGAGAGAAAAAAAATTTCCTGTAGCCATTTTCAAATGTGGTCCTTGGGCCACCTCCATAGCATGACCTCAAAACTTGTCAGAAATATAAAATCAAAGACTCTGGGCTGGAGAGATGACTCAGTGGTTACAAGCCCTGGCTGTTCTCGAAGAGGTCCTGAGTTCAACTCCCAGCAACTACATGGTGGCTGGCATGCAGGAATACATGCAGGCAGGCCACTATATATATAATAAACAAACAAACAAACAAACAAAGTCTTTTAAAAATAAATAAATAAAATCAAAGACCCCCACCTCAGACTTACAAGCAGGTACCACAATTCTCAAACTCCGGGCTGGGCCCATCTTGCCTGTCTACTTCTGATGACTGTGACAGAGAGAGAATGGCATCCCTACGGAATGTTTAGAGAGTGAACCACCTCAATTTATAGCAAGGATCACTAGGCTGTGCCATTCACCCAAAGCACACAACTACCTCTCAGTCCAGGGCCAGTCCTACTAATAATTACAGAAGGGACAGAAGTCACGGTCCTGGGGACCCTGCAGAAGGACGTGGCTGATGAACTCACAATACTCCTCCCCAGCCTGGCAGAACCACAGGAGGAATCTGTCTTCCCTTCTGCGTATGCCCCCTCCCAGTCTCCAGGGCAGCACACCTGACTTGCTTTCATGCTTTGGAGATTCCTGAGGGCTCACAGGGCTGCTGCTAGGAGTTTCCCTGTAGGAAGATGAGGCCCGAAGAGTCACCGTGCCTTTTCCAGTGCAGATTTTTGTAGGGTCCATGCCTGCAATGAAAAGATCCAAAGGAGAGGATTAGATAAAACAAGACTCCTGAGGGAGTTGCATGATAGTCTGTTAGCAGATGGTTACAGCAGGGGCATGAGATGAACCCGGTACATCTACGCCTACTCTCCCACCATTTATGACCAATCTATGACCAATGAAAATTAATCCGAGGCAGCATCATGATATTAGGGAGAATAGGCAAGGTATGGCTGAGTAAATGCATGAGTTACGACGACAGCTGAAAACATGATCCGATGGAAGCTGGCTCATTCCTTCTGTGAAATGAAGTTCAAGTTGCTAAGCAGATTTCTGGCCAGTTAGTAAGGCATGGCTCAGGGGAGAGTTTCTGAAAAGATCTTTCAAGCTCGCAGACCACCCTTCTCACAAAAGAGCCAGCATCGGGGACATCCTGAAGAGAATCGCTGCTGTTTGTGTCTCTCGCTGGTCAAGACCTCTGAACTTTGAGACAGGAGGAGGCGCTGTTTACTGATGGGAGCTTTCACACTCCAACAAAACGAGAGAATATGCAGCCAGGAAGAGGGCCAGACCGGCTTAGTCCCCACACAGCACAACAGTGTCCTCTGAACCTACACAGACTCCCAACCATCCACCTCAGAGGCACCAGGTCCTCAGAGGCAACAGACCCTGGAAGTCTTTAGGAAGACTCTCACAGCAGTCATCCGTACCCAGGGCTGTGTGTCCCCAGTCCTTCCCTGGATGTCTTAAACCACAAACAATACTCAGCCTAACCAGCAACATCTTCTACACAATTTAAAACTTGCAAGGAGTTTCTAGAACATTTTATTTAGTATTTTTCACTGTGGTTCACCATAACTAACTGACCCGATGGTTAATAGAGAGGACTGCTTGCCTCAACAGGCCTGGTGTCCACCCTTCAGGAAAATCAGTGATGAGGCAGGAAACTAGAACAGACCACGCAATTTCACATAACACATGTGCCAAGTGTTTCCTTATGTGCAGCTGAGCTAAGCCCAACCCCACACTCACTTTCCATACCCCCAAACTGCCCAGAATCCAGCTTCTACACTCAACCTCACACTAACTTCCCAAACCCCCAAACTGCTCAGTACCCAGCTTCCTGATCTAAAATTTCTACAGTGAAGACGAGAGGATGAAATGCAGTGTGTGTCTCTGGGCAGGACTCAGCACGCTGCCCATGTCTGTTCCTGGGTGAGGGTAGTGTGTAACCAAGTCTCCTTCCTCCCTGCTCTCAATCCCTGTCCAGAAGCCCTCTTCCATGGCAAGGAAAGCATGTGGCAAACTCATGGAGCACCTAACCAGGCCACAGTCAATTCAAAGGGGTAAGAGGCAAACTGGCAAATCCACAGTGCATCTGTACTGTCCCGGACACACAGCAAGATCTGCACAACTTCTGAGCTACACTGGTCCCTCTTGTCTCCAGGAAACCTGGAGTCAGAGCCTCAAATGAACCGTTCACCCCGACTCTTGGAGAGGAGAGGCAGGAAGTAACTGCAGGTGAAGCTAGAGAGGGGCTGGAGTGCTCTGGGGAATGACCCTGAGTATCCCACAGGGAACCAACATCTGACATCTATAGGAGTTGCTTCTCATGCAGCCTGACTCAGAGGTTCTCTGAGAGGCCAGGTTAACTCTCCCAGAAACTTGTGTTTACACAGAAGTCTCAGGAGTTGCAAAGTTCTTAGGAGAGCCCTATCCCAGAGTGAAGGCTCAGCTTCTGCCCTAACTAACCCTTCTAAAGCAGGAAAGGCAAATCTGTAGCCTCAGATGCTTCACTACCCCCTGGCTTACAGACTCACACACACACACACACACACACACACACACACACACACACACACACGGCAAAGAAATGTCTTCCAAACATGCATGCAAGGATTAGGGCTCACAATATGGTGTTAGAAGCAAAGAAGAAAAGAAACCATGCATGATCGTCAATTAAAAGAAACAGCTCCAAAGAGAGATACCTGGAGGGAGTACTAGGCCTGAAGGGCTTTTCACTGTCTTCACAGGAATTATTTTAACAGCAGAAATAGAACGGACACGTAAAGGGTCGGCAGTTGCTGAAAACACAAAAGGGTAAACGGTGCATCTACAAAGAACATTTGGGAGACACTCACCAAGTGGAGGAACTATGCAGAGACAATAGAAGGAAGTTGCCCATGCTGAAAGAACAATGCATAGAGCAGTAGATGGAGTCATTAAAAATAGCCTGCTCTCTTTCTTTAGGGTTCTGGGCCAAGACGGCAGAAGCTTTTCTCCAACCATCACTCACATAGAGTTGATTGGTGTTTACTGGCGCCTCCTGGCACACCAGGAGTTTGCCAAGGCTCTGGACAAAGAGACGTACAGAGACACAGATGGTCTGGCAAGTAGAGAAAGGGGGACGCAATCAGAGTACAAGGTGTCCCCTGGTAATAATGGGTCATCTGCTATGCAATCGGGGCTTTGAGGACAGGGTCATGGTTGCAGGTGAGTACAGCAACAGGAGGACCATTCTCGAAGATTGTCTGGTCCCTTCAGTCCTCACAGTGGCTTCTCCCAAATCATACCTGTTAGGATCTTGTGCCTGCTCTGACAGTCATCACCCTCTGACCTCAACCAAATCAAAAACCCCATCTGTTGGGAAACAGATGGTCTTGCTCAAGCCCACCCTTTCCTGGAGGAGGTGTTACGTGTCCAAGTGGATGATTACGGCTCTGGGCAGCGGCACAGTACACAGTGCTGGATGCTGAGACCCTGTTCCTTGCCTGTGTAGACCCCCATCTCAATGGCAGGCCCATCCCCAAACCTCTTGCGAGGGTTCCCTCACTTTTTAACAGCAACAAAGAAAGAAAGTTGTGCTATGGTGCCAAAGAGACTCCAATGGACTGTGCCAAGGAGTAGGACTGCTTGGAAATAAGGGACTGTTGACTCAGCATCACATGACTGGGGTTGTCAAGGAGGCAGGAAGGAGGATGGGAGGCACCTTCAAATTGGACAGTGTCCCTCCTGCCCATCATGCTGCTGCTTTGGAAAGCATACAGCAGGCACGGAGTAGATGTCTGCAATAACTAAGTCACAGGTGACCATTCTGCACATATCCAGATACAGTGAACGTTCACAGGAATCCTGTTAACTACCTTACAATCATTTGTGAGACTGTGTTAGGATGGGGGCAGATTTGGTGTGCCATTTTCAGAGGAAGAAGTAAGAGACTAAGCCAACCACACAGTCACTCTGTTCTTAAGTGCAGAGAAAGGAGCTCAGTTATCCTGGTTCTGTGGCCTTAGCAAGCCACTCTGATAACGTTTATTTAGGTTATACCTGCCTCTGTTTCCTACCAAAGGTGAGTCTTCCTGTGTTCCCCCTCCCCCCCATAAAACAAAAACAAAACAAACAAACAAACAACAAAAAATTCTGAAGTTTCTTCTATAAAGAGATTTACAGAGTAGTAGTCCCAAGATTTCAAAAGCCTCTTCCATATTCCTGGTTTAAATACCCCCTTACAGCCTTTCCATATCCCTGTCCCTCCATATTCTTGAAGTGAAAGATAGCCAAGATGGGCCAGACCTCAAGAACATAGCCCACACGAACTGACACAGTGAATGAGGAGGGGGACAAGACAGCACCAACCTCCTGTCTCCCAAGAGCTCAGCCTCATGCCATCCAGACCCTGACTCCCCATCTTCTGCCCTCTGCCTCCTCTCTCCAGGGGTTCCTTTTAAGTGAACATCTTGCCTTCTCAAAGGGAATATTTGGATACAATTGATGAAAATTACAAAGGCTAAACATGGCAAATTCTGAAATTATACTTTGGGAAATGCTTTTTGTTTTTATTTTTGTTTTTGTTTTAAACCTTCAATGCCCCATGCTGGGATTTCAGCCTCTCCTCACTGATACTGTGGAACACAGATAGAGTCACTGGAACCAGGATAGGATGCAGAAATAAACACTGAGCTCAAACTCCCTTCTTCTGTAGATAAGAGAACTGGCACCTGCAGAGATAAAAGGCCTCCTGCATGTCTGTTTTTCACTGCAGACTGGAATTAAGTTTATCTAATTACTCCAACTTGCTTCCTGTCACCTCATACTGCAGTACTGCTGGGGTTGGGGTGAGAATATCCTGGGCAAACAGGACCTCAAGAGTCGTCGTCTTTTTTTAAAGCAAAGGGGATTTATTAAGTAGAAGAGAAAACTGGAAGTCTTCAGTGGCTAAGAGGGAGCAGCAGAGAGGGGCCCAGAAGTGGGCTGCCCAGCTCTCAAACACCTTCTTACCACACCATTCAGCTCACACGACTGCCTCCTATCTGGGAGAATTTCTAAGGTGGAAATAATGAGGACCCAGAAGGCAGCTTAATGGGAAAGTGCTTGTCCACATGTGCAAAGCTCTTTGTTGATTGAATCACCAGCACAGGGTAGGGGGATGTAAAAACTTTGAAAGGACATACATAAAACTAATGACACTGAAATAATTTTTTCATAGGACTGTGGATGTGTTTCTATTCAGGACAAGTGAAGGTGGCATGCCATACACAGGTACTTCCAGGCCAATGAATGTCATGTGCACCAGGTATGACACTTAACAGGCACAGTCTGTCTAATAATCTGTCATCCCAGCATCCTCGTGAGCACATCCTCTCACAGCTGGAAAAGACAGTTCAGATCCATGAAGAGTAGGACCACAGCTCAGGTCCCAGAAAACCACCATGGGAAATAGGCCTCCAAAGATAAGGCCAATGATGCCCTCCCCAGAAGGGTGGGAATGGCCCCTGCCCAGTGTGCCATACATCTTCTAGAAGTGCTTTCCCATACCAAGCCAGGCTTCTCTTCAACAGCCTTACCTTTGTCTTGCCCATGGCTGCCAGGTGCCAACCCATTCACAACAGCTTTAGAGCTTCCAACATCACATTCTGAAGGAAAGAAGAGGAACAGAAGGTTTGTGACCACGCCAGCTTAACAGAGTCCCATGTGGCATGAGGAGGGGACAAAGCTGAGGTATTCTGCTCCAACAGAATAGCTCTATCCATACACATCCTATCAGCTTTCTCAGGCCTGAGAAAAGTCGCCTAGAGTGCATGGGGGAGTTCTGAATGCCTGAAGGCCTGAACCAGACAGGATGCAAAAGCTATTTGGGGATAGGAAGTGTGTTGTGGGGGATACAAATGCTATGGCTTCCCTGGAGCGGCTTCCTTTGGCATATAAAAAGTGTCAAAATGGCACCCCCAAGTTCAGCTTGTCAAATACAAGCTGTCTTTTCTATAAAGTGCCTTTAGATTGCTCCTCTTCACCAGTATAGAACCTTGTGCTACTGTCGCAGGGATGGCCATGGTGTCTGAACCACTCCTTCCACCCACTTTCTATTGAAGCCGTATCTACATGCCAAGTCCAGTGCTTTCTGCATGGTCTCAACTCTGAGTATGAGAGAGATTTTGCATCTGTAGACCTCGGCTCCAAAGCCTTCAGCCAGGAGACCTCTTCCCCTTTTCTTACTTCTGGGAAGTCCTATGTATCCTTGGGGATCACCTTGACCACCACCTCAGTGTCACTTCAGATTTTCAGAGTTCTGCTCAGCAGCAGACAATATTGAGCCCCTCCTGCCTGGCAGATTCTCCATCCATCACTTCGAGGAACAGTCCAGGAAAGACCAGAGACAGGAAGAGCAAGTCACCCCAGGGTATGTGGCCAGTGTGTTTGGAAGAACCCACCCAGAAAAATGCCAATGGAGCTACAAACATAATCATAACTACAGTTCTTTAAACATGTTTCTGCCAGGACTGCTAGTCTATGTTGAGTATTAATTACTACTTCATTGTCTCCTTCAGGTCCAGACCTTGGGAACTAGAGTTAGGAACTGCAATTTTGTTGATGAGCTCATTGAGGCTCAGTGGGACAAGGCTACCAAAGATCACGCAGCTGAGACTGAACTGCCCCACTCACAGTCCCTCTTCTTCCCCAACTAACTGACTTGTTAAATATCTCCTCAAATGCTGGACCCACAACCCACTTCACATCCTACCAGCAAGCCTGGCTAAAACTTTCAGTCACCTCCAGGCTTTTAATAACCAGCCTCTCCAAAGGCTGGGCATCTGATAAACACTAGTCACAGGACAGCCTGGCTGCTGCCTCTACAGTGCCTGAGCAGCTCCTCCCCCACAGTGGCCTGGGCTGCCCAGGGTGCATGGGGTTGGGGATCTCAACCACCTTCAGGCAAAGGCTAACTCTCTCAGAGTTAAATCTCTCTTGACCCCTCATTTCAGAAATGGTGGAAAGGGGGGGGGGTGTTAAGAAAAGGAAATGAAATCTCCAGCATCTGACTGCACAGGCGTTCACAGTCCTGTCCTGGTGCATCTAACCGAGTCCCATGGATCCATCCTTCTGACTGCTGGCCTTGCCTTGAGCCCACTTGTTTTTGGAAGGGAGTGCCTGTGAGCTACCACCAGGCCCACATTCCTTTTTTCCCCTTTTCCTTTTTTAATTAAACATAACAACCAAACTGGAATAAGCATTTGGTATTTAGTAATTAGCACTCAAATAAATCTCAGCTTTTGCAGCAATTATGTTGCTGTACAGCAGCCCACGTTTGCCTTTATTCCATGAGAGTTGGCAACCCCACACAGGTGATTAATTCCTTGAAGCTCAGTTTCCCCATCTGTATCTCAGAGGCAGCAAGCCAGGCCCAGCCCCAGGGAGTGGGGTGTATGAGTGTGTGTGTGTGTGTGTGTGGTAGAGTGGTGATATATTATTTATGATTTATTAAAACTTGACTGAGGATTCAGAAAGCAAAGCCAGATACCAGCTATAGAGGTCAGTCAGTGGTGATACACACTTTTAATCCTAGCAGCCATACTAGCTAGCCAGACAGTGGTGGCACACACCTTTAATCCCAGGACTCAGAAAATAGGCATATGGTTCTCTCTGAGTTCAAGGCCACCCTGGTCTACACAAGAGTGAAGAATAACAGAGCTCATGCCTTTGATCCCAGCACTAGGGGGGGTATAAAAAGCAAAGGGTCTCATGTGGAGATAGTCTCCAGACACACTGAGGAGAGGCAGCAGTCTGAGGTTTGGTGGGAAAACTTGTGGAGACAGGATCAGCCCTTTCAGCCTGAGTTAGAGGTGAGAGCTGGTGGCTTGGATGCTTTGCTTTTCTGATCTTCAGCTTGAAGCTTGAACCCCAATATCTCTGGGTTTTGTTTTTTTGTGTTACAGAGTGGGGCACAGCTTTCTAGGAGAATGAAACAAGACCCTGCAAGGGCAGTGATACCCTCGGAGTGGCAGCCCAAGAGCAATGGAAATAATAACAATATGTTGTTTCACTGCCATTATTTCCACCAAAGATGCAACCAAACATTTTCCATGGAGCTACTTCCTTCCCTGTGATCAGTTTCAATAGCAAGTAAACACACAGTGTACTGCTTCTCACTCCCCACCTTCATGGTAGTATTTCTGTTTCCTTGGAATTAATATAGAAATTCCCAAGACAGGATTATCAGGCCAAAGGGCCTAAGATTTTGGATCACTGGGTAAAGTTCCCTTCCGGCACCTGTCTGAGAGACTCAGGGGAGAGGAAGGCATCATCCTGGTGCACCTTGGGCCTTAGCACACCCTCACCCAACCTCCTCCTCCTCCTGACTCTAAAACTGTCGGGAGTAACAATGCAGGCTTAGAAGAGCAACAGACTTCAGGCTGCAGAGCAAATTTGTTCTGCTTGTTTTTAAAAGGAAACAGGAAAGAGGGCCCAGCCTGTTACAAATGACAACAAAAGACGCAAAGCAGGACCGAGGACATGGCTCATCTGTCAAAACCACTGCTAACATGTGTGAGGCCCTGGCTTCCATCTCCAGCGCCACATACATGCAGAGTAGGGGCACACACATGTTACTTCAGCACTCAGGAGACAGAGGCAGGATGAATGGGGCTTCCAGGTCACTCTTGCCTCCATAGAGAGTTCAAGGCTGGCCAGGGCTATATGATACTGTGTCTAAACACAAAAGAACTAACAGGCAAACCAACAATAGAAACTGAGTCAGCAAGCAGCACATGTGTCTACTTTGGCACAGAAAAAAAAAAAATAGAAGGGGCCCAAGGCAAACCACAAACCTCACTTTGCAAGGAGGAACTCTGGGCTAAGAACAGCAAGATACCACTCCCGTAGGCATAGTGCTCAATACAGTAAGAGCTCTGCTACACTCAGTCTAAGAAAAATCCCAATGCGTCAGTGTTATTACAATGTCCACTTCACAGAGGAAAAGCAAAGGCACATCTAGACCCAAACTGTTCAAGAAGTATATGAGAAAGGGTACGGTCTTAAGATGCTTCACTCCACAGCTCTACTAGGCCTCACCACACACAGGCCTACACAGCTCAGGACTTGGCTAAATGAGCCTTGTATGTAAATAAATGGGAAAGGCCTTTTAATCTATAGGAGTCTCTGAATATGGTGCAGGATTAGAAGAACCCAGGATGTGATACTCACGAAGTCCCCTGCTTTCCATCACCACCTGCAGGTTTAGGAGGCCAAGGTGGGACCAATTCCCAAAAGGAAACATTTCCAGGCTGGACACTGACAAGTCTCAGCTGCATAAGGCACAAGGATCTGTCTCCATTCTCTCGTCCCTGCTTCAGGCTTTCAATCCCTATTTAGTCCAATACTAAAAATACTTGAAACGGTAATTTATTTAGATCTTGATTCTTAAAAGCATAAGTTAGCTGCTCTGCAAGCCGGATAAAGGAAGTGTTGGGTAAGTCCCTATCCGGGGAAGATTATGATTAAATTGTGTATTTTGCATCAATCATCTAGATTAAGAAATGCCACTAAGGTGTAAAACTATGACAAATTTTATCAACAGTCTACTTAAAATAACTGCAGCTTACTGTAGGTTGACTATATCCCACTAAAAGGAAAGGGGGCTCTTGTAAAGATAGACATGGCATGCACAGTGTACGGTAGAGTTCTTCAGAAATGTGAGTTGAAAAATCATTTGCATTGTAAGTAGTGATGCTGAGGACCTTAAGATATGTGGCAATCTCAGTAAACCACCCAGTTTTGTAGATGGGACAAGAGAAAGAGAGAGTTTCAGATGACTTACCAGAACTCATGCTGGCAGTGGGGCAAGTCTAGAGCTGCGGTTCTGGATGGCTCTGCAGAAAAGCACACAAAGGAGAGGATGAATGGCAGCTGTATGACAAATCCCCACAGTCAGTGTTAAAAATGCAAACACTGTAACCCTTGGTCACACAGAGCTGAACTGGGAGCCACATTGCCAGGCTTCCAGCTCATGGCCAGTCACAGATTTAGGGGACTCTGAGCATCTCATACAACTTCCTTGCTTCACTTTCGTCACCCCAGTTATGTTTAGATGCAATCCCAGATCTCTTCTAGCAGCAAGTCAATTAAAAACTTCAATTTTGTAAAGGTTAAAAAAAAAAAAAAAAACCTATCATTAGGGGTAATACCTAATTGTGGATGTTTACAGATAGCTCACAATGTACCAGGAAATGTTCTAGGTGCTTTAAATAATTTATTTGACTCATGACAGCAAGCACTAGTGCAGTGTTAGTTCACAAATGAGACACAGGGAGGTGAAGAAGCATGCCCAATTGTGGTGGAATTGATCATGGAAATGGGGTAGTCTGAATCACCGGCCAAGTGCCTAGGCACTGCCATTTTCACTTAAGAGCAGAAACTATCACTGACACTCAAGTGAATAGCCCTCAGAATCAGGGAGTCTCAAACCAAAGAAAACTTAGAATGTGCTAGCATTTTGTTATCATTTGTCTCCAACAAAAGGTATCCATCTGTTTTGGTTTATTTGGTTTTGATGGTGGTAAAGATCAAGCCCAAGACTTGAGGTTACACTAACCAAAGACTCAACTTCTGAACCACATTGATGCTCAAACCAAACTGTATTAATATGTTTTGACAAGTAAATATAGTGATGGCACCTGTAACCCCAGGAACACACACGCATGCAGGAGAATCAACAGTTTAAGGTCATCCTCACTATGTAGTAAGATTGAAGCCAGTCTTCACTATACAAGATGGTATGCTGTCTATAACCATACCACTTTAAGCATGCCCATCTGAAGTTAAGCAGGGTTGGGCCTGATATGTACTCAGATGGAAGACTATATGTAAACAAACACAACACACACACACACACACACACACACACCCCTGTAACACTTTGACAAATAAATAAATACACCCTATAATTACCACTAAAGTCACAACATATAGCATTTCTATTGCATCCAGAAAAGGTGAGCATGTCTTCTTACAGTCAGCTATGTCACACCAAGCTCCTAGGAACCACCAACCATCACTATGGTCCCACTCCACTCTAGCCACTGAGCTATCTCTATCCAATAACCCACTTGCTCGGTTACTACTTCTTACATAATCTTGGAACCAGCTAATATAAGTTTTCCTACTTCATCCCTATTCAAAATCATTTTGGCAATTTTCAGTCCTTTGCATTTCCCATTTTGTTTTGCTTTATTTTTGAAACAAGATTTCACACTGTAACCCAGGCCAATCGGAGAGCTCCTTTTGGAGCCTAGACCTGCTTCAGAATTGCTGAGGTCTCCTATCTTGGCCTCTCAAGTGTTGGTATACTCAGCTAGGCCCTTTGCATTTTCATGTGAAGTTTAAAACTGTCATCTTTTTTTTTCCCCTGAAGAAGAGAAAGAAAGAAAAGCTCTGTTGGATTTCTAGTTGGGATTTGTAGACTCTGTAATCACCTTGGGGGAATACTGAGTGGCCCAGCTGCTGAGCATGGCCTCTCCCTTCAGCCAGGTCTTCTTTCACTTCTCTCACCAATGATTCACAGGCTTCAAAGTCAAGGCCTTGAGTACCCACTGGCTCCTCCCACACAGGACACCTCCAGCTCACTGCGGGTCTGTACTTCCATCCTGGCTGCAGCATACTTTCTCCTCCCAGAGGGAAATGGGGACTGAGCTCTAAACAGCAGGCTGCTCACTAAGAACACTCCCATGTAAAAGAGGAAGATCCATCCCACCAGATACATAATTGCAACACAGAAATCCAACATGAAAAAGCAAAGCCAACATTCGTAACCACAGTAACTGAGCCCAAAGATAATAGGTGAAATGCTAGATAAAGAATTCACATCTACTTTTCAACATCATCAAAGAAGGCTCAATCAAGTAAAGACAGGTGAAACACAGAAGTCAATCATGGATTTGTGTAAGAAATTCAAAACTTCAACTCCAAATGAAGAGACAAATTCTGAAAGGAAAAAATGTCAACAAATGTTGGAAATGGGAAACTTAAAGAAAATAGAAACACCACAGTGTAGGGGAACCTGTAGCCAGCCCCTAAGCAGGCGTGGCTATGGGTTCCCCTACACCACAGTGTAAAACATCACCCACATACTAGACCATGTGTGGAAAGACTATCAGGGATTGAAAATAAAATTGAGGACCTATGACATTCATAAACAATTTAAAAAATAAAATGTAATTATGACCATTAACAACTAAGGCCTCTGAGACACAATTAACAGACCAAATCCACAAATATAGTGTAGAGAAGGGAACTAAGACACTTTATCAAAACACATAGAAAATCTATTCAGAGAGGGGCTGGAGAGATGGGTCCATAGGTAAGAGTACTTGCTAGTTTTCCAGAGGATCAGAGTTTAGTTCCCAGCATCCTTGTTAGGCAGTTCACCATCACCTACAACTGCAGCTCTAGGGGATCTGATGGCCATTTTTGGCCTTTGTGGGTGGAAACACACACATGCACACAGCATTCAAACACAAACATATACATAAATTTTTAAAATCTTTTTAAAATTATAGCAGAAACATCTATATATCTGAGGAAAGAAATGGCCATCCAAACATTAGTCCTTTAGAATACCCAAAATATATAAACAGAAGGATCCCTCCACATCATATATTTAAAATGCCAAGAACACAGAAGAAAGCAATAATATTGAAATCTGCAATTGAGAGATTTCAAGCTGCTTACAAACATAAACCCATTCAAACAACAGCAATCCTCTCCATGAAAATCGTTAAGCCCAGCAGAGAAGGAACCGGTAGTTTTTAATCCCCAAAGTAACTGTCAACCGAGATTACTTTATCCAAAAAAGTTATCCTTTAAAACTGAAGAACTAAATAAAACAATTCATAACTGTTGAGTCCAAATGTGTCATAAGCCACTGAAAGGAATATCACACTGAGAAGATGAAAATACAGAAGCATAAGAGCTTATGAAGAACCATTCTCACAAGGACAGTTAGCAAACACAAATTAGGGTAGGTCCAAACATTACTAACTCAGTAAAACAGCAAACCTGAATAAGAATAAAAGGAAGAAGAAATCAGTCCAACCTTTCAACAATCACTTACATCTAAACACCAGAACTTGCCAATTAAAAGATGCTACAACTGGCTGGATGTTTTCCAAAATAAGATCAAGCTGTTTGCTTCCTGCTAGAAACCCACTCCACTGGCAAAGACACACACAAATGAAAAGGAAGGACAATGATATTCCAACAGAAAGGCTACCATCAAGAAACAAAGCCCAAATGCTAGTGACAATGCAACATACCTCTGGTGGGAAAGGAAATTAGTGAGGCCCTGTGGAAACCACCATGGAGGTTCTTCCAAAACCTAAGAAGAGGACTACTATATGAAGACCCCCCCCAACTTGGGTTCTCAAGTCGCCACTCTTCACAAGAGCCAGGTTCTGGAAGCCTAGGCATGTGCCAATGCATGAACAAACAAGGTGCCAAGTCAAAAATGAAGTCATATTTTGCTATAAAAAAGAATTATGTCCTTCGAAGGAAAATGAAACTAGAGATCATACTGAAATAAACCAGATTAAAAAAAAAAAAAAGCTTTGTTTCATATGGAGAATTTAGTTCAGTTTTGTTTTGTTTAAAGAAAAGGTGTAAAAGTGCAATTGGAAGGAGTTAGGAACCAGGGGAAAGGGGCAAAAGAGAATGGAAGTAGCAGTAAATGAGACCAAAGGACACGATATCACAAAAACGTCACAAGGGTGAGGGTTACTGTGAACTGTCAATTTGACAGAACTGAGAAGCGCAGGCCTCTGGGCAAGCCTGTGAGATAATATGTTGATTATGTCACCGGAAGTAAGAAGACTTGCCCCGTTGTGGATGACACCATCCCTAGACTGTAGTCTCCCTGACTGTCTGAAATAGAGAAAGCCAGCTGAGCACTCGGCCACTGAGCTCTCTGCTATGAAGTGAAATAACAAAGATACTGGATCAGACGCGAACTCAAATGTTTATTTTACATAATAAACTTCTGACCCTGGCACTGGGGAGATGGCTCAGTCAGCAATGCACTTGCCCCACACATGAGGGCTGAAGTGTGGCTCTCCATCACAGCGTAAAACGTCAGGTACCTGGGATGCCAGTGCTGGAGAGGTGGAGACAGCAGGATCCCGGAGGCACGCTGACCAACTAGACTAGCTAATTGATAAGCACCAGGGTCAGAGAGAGACCCTGTCTCAAAAATAGGGCAGAGAAGTGAGCACAGAGCACAGAGATGTCAGCACAGAGGTACCTTGTGCTGACCTCTCACCTCCTCATATATGTTCTGGCATACACACAAACTCTCTGATACTTAATACTTTTAAGCCATGCTCTAAAACATGACTTGGTTGAACAAATGACAGCACAACTTCAAAATCTCCAATAGGCCCTCTCCCTGTCAAGGCATCTTTGAGTAAAGCCAGAAAGAATAAATGATTCCACCGAGTGGCAAAACCAATCAACTGCAAAAGGGCATTTATTTCCTTGTAGTTGCAGGAACCTAGAGTGTCCCAGCGTGGGTGGCCCAGTGAGCGTCAAGCCCTCCCCGCCCCCCATCCTACACCTGGAGCTTCAGGCCTAACCATACTTGGGCAAAGCACCAGAGCATCAACACAGACATTCCACCAAAGGAACAAGCTGTGAAGCAGCCAGAGTTCAGAATGATGGTCCCGGTCATCAAGGTTTCTACTGGTTACATCATACAGAAGGTCCTTATGCGGATGGCCTGGGGATACACAAGTAGAGAAACTGAATTTGTAGACATGAAGTGACATCAGGCACAGACGCTATCAGAGCAGGAGCCTCAGTTAACCTCTCACAGCGCACTCCA